ATAGTTTTATTAGTTGTGTAATAATATTATTTTTGTTCAGATTTTTAAAAAGTAACAACAATATGATTATATAGTAAGTATTTACATGAATAATCATCAAATAACTGTACTAGAACATTTAGATGATGATAATAATAATAATAATTAAATATTGTTTACAAAAGTCGGTAAACTAACTCTTACTATAACTTTAGTAGAAATAAAAAGTATTAGAAAAGTTTACCGAAACTTATGGCCACTATATATAACAGCTATTAATATTAATTATAATGTACTCTATACTAGACTATTGAAATGTGTGTCCACACAATTGACACAATTATTGAATCAAAGTTATAGTAATATGTGTTTCAACTTATGTAAACAATATTCATTTATACCCGATTTGGCCAAAATTGATGACAATTGCCGACAATTAAAACATATTGTACTTACAAATATTTACTGCAATTAAAACAATTAAAATTTAAACTGAATTTAGAAAGATATGAGTCAAAGGATTTAATGAATCAATTTGTATTATCGGCTAATTTATTGAATCGGTTATCAAAACTAACACTTCTTATTATAAGATTAGATAAGACCTGATATTTGTGTCCAGATTTAATGACAAATGTCATGAAATATATACCAAATGTTTATTATATAAGTTTTTATTTCATTTATTTTACCGACGATTTATTAGACTGTTTAGTAATAGTCAAACATTTGCGTCATTTAAGTTCAGCGATTTTGAATGAAAAGCAACAAAATTCACAAACTATTGTCACTAAACTACTGAATAATTGTCCCAAAATTACAATTAAGATCAATAGACAAACTTATTTAGAAATATTTTAGAAATAATTTAAGAAAATTCAAAATAAAAATGTTTATATATTGATTAATGTAATAATATTTATTAAATAAGTTAAATAAGTTAAACAAAAATAATATTTAGGATTCAGTTTTGCATTAAATATTAATACCGGTAATAACATATATTAATAAAAACATTTAATTTAATTAATTTTTAAATATACTAAAAATTAAACTACTATATTGTATTAAAAATTGCTAATTTGTGTTATTTTAGTAATATTGTTATCAAATATAAATTTATAATAAATATATTTTGTCTACTTTTGATAGTTTTTTTTTAAATAATAGAATCATTATAATAGACTGAATATATGTCATCTATTGTTTGCTAAACATTTAACTAACATTTATTACAATCGATATTAAAAACAGTTAAACACAAAAATACTATAAAAATCCTATGTCTGACCAAAGACTCCCAAACAGACACAGTTTATAGACATAACATAACAGTAAAACAAATATAAAAACAATTATTTTCAATCAATATCTAATCAAAAGTAGTTTATTAAATACTGTGTTGGATGTGATTCAGACAACAAACACACAAAATATCACAAATCCAAACATTTTATATCTCTATTATTTTAATTATCTTATATTTTTATAACATTATTGATGATAAAATAAAAATATAAAAATAGTCAAAATTCTCATTAATAAATAGATGTAAATATTCAATAATATAATAAATTAAATTTTAAACTTAGACAAATTGTTATTGAAATTTTTAAATAATGCAAAACCTATAATTAATTATACTATTTTATTGAAATATTATGATAATGAATAACTTAATAAACAATAAATATAACTTTAAATAAAGTTTATAATTTTTTAATATTGTAAATATTTGAATCAATTTTATAAAAATATTATTACAAACATCATTATAATTGATATAATTTTATTAATCCATTGATATAGACAAGTGAAGTGTCTTTTCGATATTACAATTGATTTAACTATTTTTAACTCCTAATTGTAAGACAAATAATTAGTGTCATACATAACACATACACACAATCAGAAAAAATATTTGTTTTTTATCAAACAATTGATAATAACAACAACAAAGAGTGTAGTTTGACATTTGGGAGCAAAAAATATAGCAAATAAATCATTTGTTGGACACAATGGATAAGCGGATTCACATTTGGGAATTGACTCCACTGTTTGGTTTCATCAGTACTACAGTAGTATTACTATTACATACTATAGTGTTGTTGACTTGTCATCGATGGCAATGATGTCGAGGAATGACAACATCTATTCGAAAAACTTTTGCGAGTCTTTCATAAAAATAAGTTAACTTATAATATGTATAATTGACTGATCAATGATTATAATTTCAACAAAATTACTAAACTTTTAATGACAATAATTAAGTTTATCTTAAGACCGCTTAAAACTATACATTGATTACAAAATTAATACAAAATTTAATAATTAATAACTACTTATTATTATTTTTTAATTTATTCATCTAAATAAAAATTTCGGTAATATTTCAATTATTTTGTTGTTAAATAGTTTAAACAATTATTGTCAATCATTTATTTAATATACAGTATATTAAAGTTAGAAATTGACAAATAAATGTATTAATTAACTTCATAATCAATTTTATTACATTTATATTTAAAAAATTAAAACTACTGTACATTAAAAATTGATTATAATTTTTATGCTTTAAAATTTAAACTTAAAATATATGTATAAATAAATATATTTTTAAGTTTAAATGTAAGTGACGTGTGATGTCCTCTAGTGTTGTGTTTGTGTAGTGTTTGTCACCAAATGTTTGTATGAAATGTGTGCCAAAATGGCGCCACTCTTTGCCAATCAGTTATAGTGATTATCAGCAAAACATTGGTCCCGAAGACCACTATAAGACAATTGAATACACTATACGATTGCCGAAATGGCTAACAAAAGTTTTATGTCCAATCTGTCCAACTCTGACACCAGTTTATGGCTTCACAACAAATTGGGAACCAGTAATGACTTGTGGTCTGGTATGTCATCCATTTCGCAATTGTCCACTAATTGGTCACTTATTTTATGATTAATTGATTGTTATTTATTTGTTTTTTATTATCAGATACGACAAGTATTGTCGGCCAACTAAGTGGAGATGTCTTACGTAATATACGCGACTGTTTTGTTGACTTACAATCTCAGGTCAAACTTAAACTCTTGCTCTCATTCCTCCACATCTCCAGACGTAATGTTGAACAGGTATTTAGCGGATGACTGTCATCACCAATGCTATTGTCGATGACATAGTGTTAATGTTTTAATCATATGTGTGTCCTATTAGTGGAGAACCGAATTGGAGGAAATACTTGAATTGGCCGTCAATGACAGCGACCAATGGGTGTCCATAATAGCCGAACTGCTCCAGAGTTATCCACAGAATGGAACCATTAATTTTCAATTAAATACTAACTCTTCATCGTTTAATGATTTGATCGTTGAATTAAAAAAATTAGGTATTTTTGGCGCTAAAACCTAAAAATGTATTATTGCTTTGATAGTAATGAAAAATTGTGACCACATTTTAGTCCGCAAACACGGGGACAAAGGTATCCTACCGATGGAGTGTCTGTATATGAATAAGAGTGCGCTGACGGCAGCAGCCGGTCAATTGGCACAACCGGTCAAACATTTTGCACTAAAACGTAAACCAAAGTCAGCCACTTTGAGGGCCGAACTCTTGCAAAAATGTATGATATTTAGTGTCAATGAAAATGTTTTGTTATTTACAATTGATTTGTGTCTTATAGCTAACGACGCTGCCATCGGTCGACGCAATTCAACCGGACCTTCAGTTCCTATTAGATGTCGCGGTTTAAGCAGTGATACAAGTAATTGATTGTTTAATGTTTATAATTATGTTATTAATAATTATTTTTATGTTGTGACACAACAGCACCATTGAAAGGAATTCCCACTCGTAATGAATTATTACACAGTCGTGTCAATAGTTTTAAAACACCGACCAATTCGCTAAAACCAAGCTTTAATAATAGAAGACCAGTTGGTTCTACTAAAACAGGTATCAAACTGTTGGATATTACGGAACAACCGCTGGGAAGTAGTAATAAACGACGAAAGAAGGCACAGAATGAAGAAAATGAAAACAAACAAAAAGATAACGAGAAAACTGAAACGGAACCGATTACTCCTGATTATGCCGCAGGACTTACGTCTATTGTGCCACCGAGTCCTGCACCGCCCAGTTATGCACCACCGGCCACTCCCGCACCTCAACCAACAGTTATACCAAATGAAAATTATCAGCAAATTCAGACTTCGGCACCGATACCACAACAGATACCTACAGTACAGCAACGGTTTGTCAATCAAAATATCGATAACAATGTCGTTAAACAAGTTAAGCAAAGTCCGCAAATAAAGACTACGTCTTCATTGACACCGACACCTAATACCCCACAATTGTCTCATATTGTGTCGACACCACAAGTAATACAACAATTACCGCCACAACAGCTGCAACAACAACAGCAACCACCACCACAACAACAGATGCACAATCAAATGCATGCGCAACAAATACAAATTATGCAGACATCATCTATTCCTCAACAAGTACAACAACAACAACAACAAGTGATAATTCCAGTACAACAACAGCAGATGCAACAACAACAACAACAATCAGGTCAACCACAGCAACCATTTGTCAGACGACAGCTGCAGTTATCGCGTGAACAGATGTTGGCCGCACAAGAGATGTTCTCCACAGCGAACAAAGTGACCCGACCTGAAAAGGCACTCATACTTGGTTTTATGGCCGGTTCTCGTGAGAACCCGTGTCCACAATTGGGTAATGTTGTGACCATAAAGTTGAGCGAAAAGGAAGAAGATGTACGACATCCAGACGGCACTATTGAGCACATGATTGTTGAGACACACTTCCAGATGAACTACAATACCGGCGAATGGAAGAAAGTACAGAAATGTCGAAAATTAGACCAAAACGTGCAAAACACTCACACAATTCAGGGCTACCAAACTCTTCAGCAAACTGTTTAAATAACAAACGATTATCTGTTTGCTAATTATTTGGCAATATTTTGTATAAAATTGTATAATAATTATTTGTTTAATGATTAAAAATTACTGTAAATAAATTTATATTATAGCAAAACAAACAAATTTAATACACTTTAAATATATGTTTGTGTTTTGATTTATCTATTTAGTGTTAAATTATAAATTAGTTTTGTAGATTATAACATAATATTATTATAATGTCAACTTTTGCAACATTTTATTTGTATTTTAATGTCATAAGTAATGTTCATTAAAAATTTATAAATGATATTATTTAATAATATATTTGTATACAGTAAATCTCTTAATTTTATTATTTTATATATTACTATAATAAAATTATTACACTTTATTTTGTCTCACATAAATGTTTTATCACAAATAATGGGCATAAAAACAAATTGTATTTTCACAAAAAACTATTTCAAATAAACTTATGTTATAATTTTATTTTTTAACTAAAAAAAGTCATTTAAAAATTTTTATTATAGTATAGTTAAAACATAAGATTGTAAATTATTATATTTTATAACTTTGATTCTAAAATTATTATCAATAATAACACATAAAAAACAATGTTTATCTTAATTAAATTTGATGCAAAAATTTATCTGTCTAAATAATATTCATTTTGTTTTAGTGTTTAGTTTAATTTAGTTTAGTAGTTGTTTTTGTATAAAATAGGACAAAATTTGAGAAACTTTATTTTACTAAAAAAAATCAAATAGTTGAGCTAATAGGACAAAACTATGGATTTTAGTTACCGATGTAATGATATTAAAAGTTTTTATGTATTGTGGCACCGGTATGCTGGGTCAGGGATGTGCAATACCCCAAAAACCAATAATGTTACTATAATTTTATTAAAGTCAAAAAATACTAAATAGATAATAAACAGACTCGTGTTTTATGAGTACCCAAATAATGATTAGATATTTTGTAAATTAAATTAAAAGATGAAAATACAAAAATTCAAAGTTTTATAATTAAAAATGTCCAGAATCTAGAATCTAGACTTGAGATCTATTGTTATAATATATTTTTTTTGATTTAGCATTTTATTTAGTTTTCCTAATTTTGTCTCCGATTTTATATTATAATCAAAAATATAATTAATATGATATTATAGGTTTAGATGAACCAAATTTATTATTATAATTATTTCTAAATTTTATTACCGGTTATAGTTTTAGTCAAAAAAATAGTTTTTAAATTAAAAGTAAATTTTAAATCTAATAATGACTACATCTTTTCTATAATATTGCTGTACAGAAGATCTGAATTATAAAATTTATAAAATGAGTAAATTTATAAAATTAAAATTATATCGTAATTATAAATTGGTTCAGCTTATAAAATTAATATATATAATAATATAATAATAGAAAATTTATAATAAGTTAAGACTAAATAAGAGTTAATATCTGAAATTTTTTAAACTAAGAGATTTTTGTTTATATCATATTCGACTTAAATTAATGGATATAATTCCAACAAATTTTCGGACAATTAATAAATTTTAATTAAATGTGAATCTATTTTATATTTTGAATATTTTTTATAATTAAATTTTTAATATTTCTTACAAAATAAAAGAGGTTTTTATACAGTATTTGATAACAATCATAGATATTGTTTTTATAATTAAAGATTCATAAGTATTTAAGTTATTTTTAGTGTTTAGTGTTATTTGTTAAATAAAGATTATGTAAAATAAATAAAAAGTATTTCTTTTTAATCAAAATTTTCAATACTAAGATTTTAATTAACTTTTTTAACTTCTATTATAGTCTATTGACTCTATATATTTAGTTTAAATTCTGAAAAGCAATTTAATTGATTTTAAATTTTAGTATTATTAATTAAATTTTAGTATTTTAATTTATTTATAAAATAAATAAAACACATTAATACATAATATAAATTTATTGTTTTATTAATGATTTTTAATTATGTGTTTATTTTTTAACAATATTTGATTGAATGTAATTATTTGATAAAACATTTTCTCAAATTATTCATTTCTCATAATTAATATGATTATCTAATTATTAGATAAATATTTCTAATCGCTAAAAAAGTTGTGTGAAATAAACACTTTAATTATTATTAATATGATAATATCCATTACATTGTTGAGTTATATTTATTATAGAAATAAAATAAAAATATATTACATATTTATATTAATTAATAAAAATAACAATTTTCAGTTAATTTTAAAAACATTAAATATTATTAGCATATTATAACAACATTATTATTTCTATAAAAATATGTATATTTGATGCTTGACCATACAGTTAATGTAATTTTGTATATTTTTTATAAGATAATACAATCTAATTAATTATAATTTATTAATTATGAAAATTTAATTACAAAATTAATAATAATCTTAAATTATCGCGAAATGCGTCTGAAGTATGCGAAATGTCTTTTTTATAAAATGTATATTTTATAATATTTTATGTTAAATCAAATATAATATAAACAATATAATGATTTTGTTTATTTATACTTAAGTGTCAAAATAAGTATATATTTTTGGAGAAACTTTGACTACTAAATAAAAATCTTTATAATTTATATTTATTTTATAATAAGCTATTGAATTGCCGAATTGACCTTGGATGTTTTATTATAACTGTGTCGGAATTATTTAATAGTAAACTTGATATTTCTATTTATTGATCACATTATAAACACAATTTGTAAAAATGCTATTTATTTACAGTATTTTTATCATTTGATATGACAATCACCCACATCATTGTCAATCATTAGTCACTTTATTTATAACGGATTCATTCATAACACACAAAAGTCACTTTAAATAGATGTAAAAGTTATGGATATTTTTTATTATTTAATAATTATTGTTACTATACAACATTTTTTTATTGAAATGTATTTTTAAAACATGTTTATTAAACATATTAACAAATAAATGACAATAGAAAATAGGTTATATTTATAACCACTTGTTTATTTTTGTTTAAATTTTGATACTTTTTTATTACTATGTATTGTTTAGTAGTTATTAAACTAATTAATAATTTTAAAAAAATAGTTTCCAAATATTATTTGACTCTTATAAAGTTTATATATCAAAATTATTTTTATTATAACTAGTGATGTGTTAAAAGTTTAAATAATTACTATGCAATTAAGTGATGTAAGACTACTGCTTATACTGTAAAACAGCGTCAATACAGTGACTTTCCCCATACATACATAAACACGTGACATAACTGTGCTCAAGAATATTGAGTGAGGATCAGGCAGTTTGGGTGCTCATTGAGAACATGCTCTCTATAAATGTGATGGCATTGTATATACAGAAGCATTGTTGACAGTAATGTGTAGTATGTGTGCACACATATATTGCTTTTTTAAAAAAGCTCAACCAATTGATAAAACCTGCCGTCACCTAAAAGTCATACATACATATATATATATATACAGACACAGCACAACACCAACACATTTAAGGTCCACTATTATATTATAACAAACTTTTACTGATATATACTGTATATATATATATATTTATATATAAAATTACTGATAATTAATAATTTTATTTATCATTGAAAATAATATATATCTGCTTATAATTTCACTGTTCGTAAACTAACTGTTTCTCATTGTTTTGTCATATAGTTAACAAACTATTGAAATCATTTAAAATCATTGTTTTTAATTATAATAAAATTCACTTTATAATACGTAAAACTTACTGAAAACAATATTAAAACTTTTAATAATAACTACATTTGTGACTATTATGAAAAACATTAAATTATAAAAATTATATTGTGTTTTATATTCTTATATTAAAAGCTATAGAATACTAATTTTGATATTAGTATTAAATTAAAAACATTTAAATGTAAGTACAAATAAACATTTTCTATTATAAATAATTTTATTATAAAATAAAACAGTATTTTACAAGACAAATATTATTGTTTTGTATTATTGTTACATTGTAATAATATAATAAAATAGAAACTATATATAAATTTTAATTAAATATTTTATTTTAAAATTGTTTCTAAATGAAATAAATAATTTATATAAAATCAGAACAGATTTGTATATAAATTACATTAAAAAATTGTGAGTCTTTATGTTTGACCATTAAATTATTAACACTTTTACAATGATTTAATCTTGTTATGTTGACATTGTTTTATAAAAATCTATTTAATATATAGAAAAGTGACATTTATTTAATTTTCAAAATTTATACTTAAAATACACGTAAAACTAATGTCAAGTTAATCCAATAGTTTATTAAATATTATTATAGTATACATTATTATACTGTACCGTTATATTCTATAGTTATGTGTGTGTATTGTACAATATTTTCTATAATATACTGTATTTCTATAATACTATAATCATAAATATAGTTTTCATATTTCACTGTCACATAAAATTTGATAACATATTGAAAATACGTGTCTATAATCTTTGAAAAACACAAACACACAATGATTCACATTTATTTGACTCATTTGTAGTATTTCACAACAATTGATATTATCTTAATTATGATTCAAAAAGTATAGTTGAATATAATATATAAATAGTACAAATTTCGTGCTTTTATAGAGTAAACACTAAATTATGTGTTGTTTTTTTATTAATGATTTTCTGTTAATCTCATTGTTTAGTAGAGTTTTGTGTTATTCATTATAAGTTATAATACTTTTCTCGTAATGTGTCTATGAATTTATTAATTTATAAGTATTATGTATTAATATTTTATATTAAATTTTTATAAGTAATATGATATATTTTATTGTGTTTAATATAGTTATTAATAGTATTATAACTAAATGTGAAATACAAGTTATAGTTGCTTTTTAGTAATTAGTTTATTAATTGCATTAACACAACAAACATTATTATGTTTTACTATTAACTTTATTAAGAAATAATATTTAATCTTAGTTTTATACATAAATTTTAGTAAAAAGTCTATTTTAAAATATTACAAATTATATTTAAATATTAAAGTGTGTTATATAACATAATTTTT